TCATCTTGTTATCACATCGTAACAAGCTTGTACATTTACTCATAGACATGGAGCATAAGAGATTACTACATGGAGGTCTCCAACTAGTGATGTCAACCTTACATCAACGTTTTTGGATAATTGGAGCCCGGGACGCCATTCGACATCACATAAGACGATGCATTCAGTGCGTGAGACAACGTGCAGAAACTGCCCAACAACTTATGGGTGACTTACCGCCAATGCGGGTGAATCCAGCTCGTCCTTTCCTTAAGTGTGGAGTCGACTTTGCAGGCCCCTTTCAACTTCGCGTCATCAAGGGCCGAGGTCAACATTCATTCAAGTCATATTTAGCAGTGTTTGTGTGTTTTGTCACTCGAGCTGTTCAGCTTGAACTAGTCAGTGCATTGACAACAGATGCATTCTTAGCAGCTCTCAAGCGGTTTGTAGCTCCACGAGGAAAATGCTCTGATATTTTCAGTGACTGTGGTACCAATTTTATTGGAGCAGATCGAGAACTCAAAAAATTCATTAAATACGTTTCAATCAGGCAACATACTAATGAGATATACAACTGGCTTGCCAACGAAGGCATTTCATGGCACTTTAGCCCTCCTGCAGCCCCTCACTTTGGAGGTCTGTGGGAGGCTGGAGTAAAGTCAGTGAAATACCATCTAAAAAGGGAACTTGGACCTCATCGACTGATTTATGAGGAGATGGAAACACTGTTGTGTCAAATTGAAGCCTGCTTAAACTCCAGACCACTCACAGCACTTAGCAGTGATCCTAATGATCTCACCGTTCTCACACCAGGACACTTCATTATTGGCGATTCCCTTTCAGCAATTCCTGAGACAGATCTCACTAGCATCAATTCTAACCGCCTTTCTCGATGGCAGCTAGGCCAACAGATGTTGCAACATTTCTGGAGACGGTGGAAACGTGAATATCTTGCACGCCTACAACAACGACCTAAATGGGCAGCCAAAAGGGAGAACATCAAGATTGGTGAGTTAGTGTTACTCAAGGACGACGATCTGCCACCCACAAAATGGAAAATGGCGAGAGTTTGTGAACTTCATCCTGGAGAGGACAATTGTGTACGGGTCGTGACAGTCAAATTGGCATCCGGTCAACAGCTCAAGCGACCTATTGTGAAGATATGCCCCTTCCTCTTCATTAACTAATTAGTGACATTGTTCTTGTAACCGCGTCATATTGAAACTGTTATTTCAAGGTGTTATTTCAAGGTTCGGTATCAATCGTATTAGTTCAGAAAAAAGTGTATGTTTGGGCAGGGGGCGCGTGTATAACGGTTGTTTTTTAATTGGATTGGTTGTAAAAAACGAGCGAAAAAAAAGACGAAAAACATGGCGTCTACATATTGCATGGTGTGATGACGATTTTTTATCTGTTCAACTTGTATTGGTTCAGTTTATTAAAAGTAACTAAGAGTGTTTATGCTTCGTTGTATCATTTGTCCGGAAACATTGCGAAGGCTCACTGACAAAGACAATTATTTGCATGGTTTGTATCTATCATNTATAAAAACACGTGCGTATTCGAATGCAGTGTTGTGTGAAAATTTCAAAGGAATTGGTAGGAACAAACGAACATTACATTTTATAGATAGATAGATGATGATCTGCTTTAGTTCATCCTCACAGAAAAGCAAACTTACGGCGTCATACTCGTAGCGCCATCTGTTGGACATAAAAGCCTTAACCCTGGATGAAAAATCCATTGTAGTTTTATTTAATTAATAAACAATCTGCAGGTTTGATTAGTGGTAAACATTCCGGGGGTCATAAAGATGCTACAGTTAAAATTTGGCAACGATTGGTTCAGTAGTTTTCACGGTTAGTTGTCACAAACGAAAAATACGTTGTCTCTTTATATAGTACTAGCAGATCCAGCCACGCATTGTTGTGGCTCAAAATGTATCTATTATAAATTTATAACACTTCCCTGTGGGGGAGGGAATTTTTCGAAAAATTTCTTCTTAGTGTACATTCTGTTGATGTACCCTATTAAAACACAAAAAACCGCATCTAAAATAGTATAAATAGAAGTAGAGTTCTTTACGGTAAGCCTTAATCCTAACCATCTCCCTTCAGTGGGGGGGAATTTCAACACGTATATTATATAAAAACACGTGCGTATTCGAATGCAGCGTTGAGCCAAAATTTCAAAGGAATCGGTAGGAACAAACGAACATTACATTTTTATTTATATAGATAGATAGAAGATGATCTGCTTTAGTTTATTTTCACAGAAAAGCGTAATGCCTCACAGAAAAGCAAACTTAGGGCGTCGTACTCGTAGCGCCATCTGTTGGACATAAAAGCCTTAACCTAGATTATATATTTCAATTTATATGAATGTTTAACGGAATAATATACAGCTTATGTCCGCCCTGAGGTTCCATTCTAATTGGTGAAAGAATTTTTGAAATCGGATGAGTAGTTTCGGAGATTACCTGCTGCAAACAAACTTACATACATACAAACATTACCTCTTTATAATAATAGTATAGAAGTACAGTTGACCCCCTATAACACGGGTTCCTACAGTTCGGATTCCTATATCACTGCAAAATAATTATGACAGTATTCGTACAAACATGCTAAAAAATCTCCTATAATTCGGTAAAACGTCATCGCCGACTCGTGTCGCCACAGAATTGTACAAACGATTGAGTTTAAACGAGCAGCGGACCTACCAAAAACCATTTATTATTTAACGTCCATAAAAATTATATTTATGTTAACGAGGTCTCCAAAGTTCAGCGAATTTTTCGCAAAAAAAATAATTTATCAGGAAGCACGCGAGCGCCATTTGATGACAATCTCCATGACGAAAACAAGATTAAGAAACGGCGTAGTCGAACGGTGCACACTCGGTAAGTAATCCTACAATTTTTTGTTTATAGCATAGTGTGAGACCCGAAAGGCCCCTGGGTCTAATTTAATAATTTTTATTAATAATATTAANAGATGGCGAGAGTTTGTGAACTTCATCCTGGAGAGGACAATTGTGTACGGGTCGTGACAGTCAAATTGGCATCTGGTCAACAGCTCAAGCGACCTATTGTGAAGATATGCCCCCTTCCTCTTGATTAACTAATTAGTGACATTGTTCTTGTAACCGCGTCATATTGAAACTGTTATTTCAAGGTGGGCGGGATGTTCGGTATCAATCGTATTAGTTCAAAACAAAGTGTATGCTTGGGCAGGGGGCGCGTATATAACTGTTTTTTTTTAATTGGATTGATTGTAAAAAACGAGCGAAAAAAAGACGGAAAAACATGGCGTCTACGTATTGCATGGTGTGATGACGATTTTTTATCTGTTCAACTTGTATTGGTTCAGTTTATTAAAAGTAACTAAGAGTGTTTATGCTTCGTTGTATCATTTGTCCGGAAACATTGCGAAGGCTCACTGACACCGTTCTTGATACTAAGGAAGGAAAAACAATCACACAGACGACAGTGGAAATTTATAGGTCTACAATTTTTTCAAATTCCAGCCCAATTAGAAGAAAAAAATAATATAAAGTATAGTATAATAGTGTATGCAAATGTGCGCTTTATTTTCATGATATACAACAATAATGCATAATATAATATAATTATATCAGTAATATAAGGAAGGGAAAAGGTTCAGAACCACATTTACTTATAGAGATATATTTTTATATAAATTTTAATTTCCAATAACATCAGGTATTGCCTGTTAATTACACAAACCTTCTTAGGCAGTTCATGAAATTTGTTTAGATAATCATTACCACCCTTTATTCTTATTTACACATTCTATTCTCAATTGCAGCTCTGTTATATATGTAGGAATAGGTAATAAAAATATAGAACTAGAGAACTAGTAATGACAATAATTTTCCAGCGTTCGTAACCGTCTTGATAGAACGATAATGTTGTCGCCTTCGTAACGTCTTTATCTCCTTTGTTTCTTTCGCGTTGTCACTAACTGTCGTCTTTCTCACTTGTATCCTTTGCACATTCTGCCCCGTTACCCTGCAATCCCTGAACGGTGTTTAAATGTCATTCGTCCGACCCTCACATTGTCTCTCTCTCTCTCTCTCTCTCTTTCTCCCCGTCTCCCTCGCAACCCTTTGTTTATTGCCTTAACGGTTTAGAAATGTTACTCGCCTATACCCCACATACAGTATATAACAGAGGGTAAGTATGGGAATCGGTCAAAACATGTCTCCCAAGACTTTCACATTTTTTCAGCTTGAGGATTTTGAAACGACGGGAAATGTAAAAATTAATCCTGAATCTGACTCTGTTTGAAGCTTAACTCCTGTGGTTTTTGTCGAAATTGCCCGAAATTTTGCAGAGAAGTTTGTTTATCAGAGGGATTAATGCAATTAATTTTTGACGATGAAAGATCGACGAGATAAAGGGGGTCGTGTGTCATACATCGAGTATCGTCGGACTTAAATACGATTTTACAATATTTTATAAAACATCCCTAGCACAAAATTAAGTTTTTATGCCATTTTATTGTAATTAAAATTATAAAAAGTTATTTTCTAATAAACTATCATAACAGATGATGTCACACACGAAGTTTTAAATGTTGCCGGGAAAGTTAAGTTACTCGTTGCTAGATTTTTTGTGTTTTTCGTAAAGCATTTATGCATTTATATAGGTGGATTTTTGATTATTTGCAAAGGATATCTGAATGCCTAATAGAAACTAAATAACAATATTTTCACAAAAATTTTGATTGACAACATAAGAAAATTTGGCAGACATGCTTAAAAATATTATCCTTCTTTGATATAGAGTATTTCTTTAATGGGGTAAATTATGCAGGTAAATTATGCTGATTTGAAGTTAATACATTCGTATTGATGTCTTAAATATTATACTGTATTTGTTATGGCCTATCTGAATTTCTGTTATGCATTCGTTTACATAGCTTTTTATAAGCTGAAAAAATAATGAAATTGTATTGAGAACAACAATGATTTCAATATTTTTTTTTTTTAACCAGACAGATTCTTATCCTTTACGATTCAGAGAAATACATTACGTGAACATGAATGTCATATTCGAAGCTATTTTAACTGTTTTCATTCCACTTCTACCGGACAAAATAAAGAAGACGGTGAGAATTATTAATTTTGTTATTAATATATAAAAGTATGATTAATAATATTTAATTAAGGCTATTTTAATTTGCTTTAATTGTTCATAAAAGCTGAGTAATTTCATTTTTGCTTGGAAGCATAATTTCCAATTGATTATATGCAATGTAAATTTCAGATTCATTTACATTCTGATATTACAACTTTGACTGATTTCATCAGTCCCGATTGTCTGCCTTCACAACTCGGTGGAAATTTGCCACCTTTCGACCCGAATGAAGCTAATAAAATGCTTAAAGCTAATGAAGAATTCCTCCGAAGAAACGAAGAATATGTGAAATTATACGAGAAATCAATTAAAAATTGTAATGAAGACACATCTTTATGCAAGGATGTCAATAGGAAAGAATTTATTGAAAAGGCGGAAGAAATATTTGAACGCCATTCTAATAATCCCGAAGATTTTCTAGCTTGTATGAAAGAGAATTTCGAATTTGATATTGATAAATTTTAAGGTAGAAGATTTTTTCTAAAATTAGTTAAAACTTAAACTAACAAGATTCTTAATTGTATCGTCACTTAAAACTATGTTTGGAAATAAAATTTAAATACGTGTTTATTAATTAAAAGAATTTAACGAATAATAATACTGGACTTATCATGCATAATAAAGTAGAAACACAGGCACACAAGAGTTATTTCATATATCACACTTTTGATATCTACATCGTTTCCCAAAGGGCTCCATACAATGACAGAAATCAAGCATATCAATAGCCGAGTAAATAAAACCGTAGAACACGCGTACTTCGTCATTGGTTCGTACCTGATCAATGGACTAGCTACCATGCAGTGTTCCGGGTTTTCTTTATGTGTCTATACAGACTCACTTTACACATAGGAAGTCCTGCTAGAAGTTATCCCATTGGCAGATAACCCCTGTGTTCCGTTGCCTTACTTTGTCAATCCAATGATACAAATTTTAATGCTTTCATTTCAATGTTTGTAAATAAAGTTACATTTTACCTTTGTATGTATGGAAACTTTTGGGACATTCTGTATAATTGATTAACGGCCAGATGGCCTGCTTGAAAGGCTACTGTTCATCGTTTTTCGAGATATGGAAACGAATCTGGACGGAACAAAGTCTCCAAAATTTTCTGGTGCTTGTTTGTCTCGCCAACTTTGAACCCTGTCTTTCGTCACCCGTCTAGTCCAACCTACAAGGGACTTGACAAAAGAATTAATAAACTTTTTGTTACCTGCTGTTCCTCTTACATTCATTGTCACCTAGAAATATTGTAGCTAGTGTGTCTCGTTTAAAAATAATCGTCGTGTAATATTTAGAAAGTAAGCTCTATAATGTTTCACTATATCACTATAATTTTTTATTTCAATCTTATTATTTTAGTGCTTTTATTAATTGAAATCTAAGGATGTGGGACGTGTTAAATTTTCAAACAGCACAGTTAAGTTTAGAAGTGTGGCACCACGAAGTGTGCGTAGGAGCTGCACGATTTCGCTGCAAAAAAAAGGCAAAAAAGAATTACATTAATTTAAGTTTTAATTAATGTTTTTTTCATTCAAATAACATTACAAACAGCCAAATAAATATATGATTCAAGGTGATGAAAATCGACGTACAGTACAACTGTGAATATAAAAAATGCAGATGTCTGGCGTGCAGATCTTTGTTACTTATCCTTTGTTTTACATTATTGTTTGTTTTTTATATATAAGAATTAATTTTGGGGTATTTTTCTTTCATGTTTATCCCGTAATGTTTATCCCATGAGTAGAAATGCTTGTCTTCAATTTCAAAATTGCAACGCAGTAATACACCATTATAGAATTGCAAAAGTATAGATGTGGATCTATACTTTTTTCACGCAAACCGCAAAAAATTTCACCTATAGTAAAGTCCGAGTTCAGGGTAATACTTAATTGTTTCCCTCTCCCCCGAGACAGGAATTTTGAAAAATCCCTTCTGTGAACTCGCGGATATTTACGGGCTTTTTAAAAATCCAAATTTTCTGTTAATTGTCTTCGGAAAAAACCCGAAGAATTTGAACTAGATCGGATTTCATCGATTGTATAACGACTAGCTGAGGAAGTTTACAGTTAGGTGTGAAGAATGCACCGTCATCGTCAAAAAAAGTCAATTACGTGACAATTTTCCCACGCTAATGATATAAAAGCTCGAATCTCCGGAAGCTTAGGGCGATTCATCATAAGAAGTTATACTTTGTGATAGTGCCCACCTCGACTCCCGAACCTTTGTACAGCGGACTTGATCCAACCACAGAGAGAGGACATCGGCAAGAAGACACGGAAGACACCACACCCTTCCATACAGACGACGTTCGCCAACTCTCCCTTCCACCGAGAGGTATTTAGGGGTTAGAATTTGTAAAAGCGCTCTCTCTCGAACTAGAAATTAGGTCAGCGACATAGCTACGAAATTCGTCGCCAATTTATGTAAATATTTTAATATAACCGCATTTAACCTTAGTAGTAAGTTCGCCTCTTATTGTTTAGATTTGTGGATTCAATAAATGTTTTATTATTTTGTTAACCTGTCTCCTGTCAATTGAGGACGCCTGCCGACATACCGACGCACTTCCCACTCGGTTTGCCTTCCTAGCCATCCAACAGACTCCGAGATCGGGTTTTATCAACCAACCTGTTGCCGATTAAGTAGTCAGTATGAGATTAACCCTTAACCCACGGCTTATTTTACACTTTTTAGTGTACTATACATTCTCTGGCGTACCCTAACTGTGTAATAAATTTTAACTTTCACTCCTAAACGTTTGGATTCTGCGCTTATTATTATTATCAACTCATTTCGATTACATTATAAGATGTATTTAGACAATACAGTATTATTTGTGTTTTATTATAGCTAAGCATCTTTTTAAATATTTATATACAATATTTTAATAGTGAATAAGTTTTTGAAACTTTTGTTTACCATGTAAATAAAAATCACCACTTCAATTTTATTTTAAACCATAATACAGTAAAATAATAATAATAGTAATTATAATATTGCCGGATGGCTTCAATACAATAATATAAATGATGGAAATACATGTTAAATTTGCTAGTTTAGTTTTTTCCTCGTAAATAATAAAATATTCCAGAACAGAATAATTGTATATCATTCAAAAATGTGTAATTTCCAATTCTGAATCTTGTTTCAGAGAAGCCATAAATGCTTCTGGATCATCGGAATAACATTTAAATTTCTCTTCCGATTTCTCTAGAAACTTCTTAACTTTTTCGTCTTCAAAATCTTCACCAATATACGTAAATTTGCCTTGACTGAAGTGCTTATTTCTTTCCTCTTCGTACAATCTCAAATATTCTTCGTTTTTGCGAAAGAATTCTTCATTGGCTCTAATCATATTATTGAATTTACTGGAATCGGAAGGCAAATTATCTCCCAATTCCAAAGGCAAAAAATCCGGATGAATGAATTCGTGCAAAGTAGACATGTCGGAATGTAAGTGCAACTGCGAAATGAAAACATCTTTTAAGAAATTAATGAAATAATATATAAAGTAAATAATTTGCTATATAAAAGTTTAAAATATGTAAATTAGAAAATATTGGTAACCAAACAATTAATTTCTAAAATATGATTTTATTTGTTTCTATTAGACACTATACAGTAGACCCCTATAAAAACGGGTTCATATAATACGGATTCGTATATAACGGCGAAAAATTTGCGATCGTATTCGTATAAACACGCTAAAAGAAACTCGTATAATACGGTAAAACGTCATCGTCGACTCGTGTCGCGACAGGATTGGTCGAATCTAGACTAATAGCTGATATTGCACAAACCGTTGAGTTTAAACGAGTAGTGGACCTACTAAAAACCATTTATTATTTAACGGCCATAAAAATTATATATTAACGATGTCTCCAAAGTTCTGCGAATTTTTCGCAGAAAAATAACTTATCAGAAAACACGCGCCCGCCGTTCGATACGCCGCTTTACCACGAAAACAAGCTCAAGCAATGGCGTCGTCGAACGGTGCACAATCGATGAGTAATCCTACAATTTTTTGTTTATAGCATAGTTTATATGAATTATTCCCCAAAAAATTATACGTGTTTGGAAATTTTGAGTCAAATTAGTCTAGAATCGATTAATTTTACGGTAGAAAACCTTTCAGGCAGCCGTAGTCCCTGAACTGTATACATGCCGGGCCGTGATTGGCTCATGTATTTAAGTGTTCGTAAAATACGGAATTCATATAAAACGGAACGTATTTACCGTATTATAGGGAGTCCACTGTACTTGTTTATTTTTCAGACTTGTAAACAAAGTTGATGTCATTGAGAATCCAACCCATAACAACACATAGTAGTAGAAGAAATGAACACTTGGAACCAAAAATATTTATTAGAATTCCCAATATACTCTTCCAAATCGTCATATATTAGAATGAAACTGCAAACTCTACTGTCAATAACTTGTAAACATTATGATTAGGGGAGACTATAAAAATTCTCGATATCAGTTAAACACAAGATGAAATTGTGCTATTAAATATTTTTACAAATATTATATTGAGTCATAATCGAGACTAATGCACAAAAATCTTCGCCGTGTTTTTGTGTAGCTGAAAACTCCTTATTTTTCAAAGATTTAATATCATCTGCAAGTGTTTACGATAAGATGTTTTCAGATATATGAATATTAATGGGTTTTTTTGTCATTTATTTACAATATTTCATAACTTAGATAGGATAACGTCTCTTTTTAATTTACTTTCTGTATTTTACTTACAACATTTTCTTTCTGTAAGAAAAACTTGGATTTGGAAACTTGATTCCAAATCCAAGTTTTTCTTGCAGAAAGAAAATGTGTTTTAAATGTTTGAAAATTGTTAAAGAATATTAAATTATTTAAATTATATTTCTTTACTTACTCTTTCCTTGAGTTTAGTTGGTAAAAGTGGAAATGCCATAGTTAAAATTGCTTTTATCATAATACTCACGTTGACATAATGTATTTCCTTGTATCGAAGCGGATAAGTATCTTTCTAAAAGTACATATGACATTATTTTCAAAAGTAACTAAGTTGTATACACATTTATTTTATTACTAAATACTATAAATATGTGACTCGTTAGAACTCTACAGTGTAATAATAAAGATTTTAGTACAAATTAGTATCATCATTAGAAATATATGAGATATTGTTACCATGATTTACACAACAAGTCTTTCAAATATTTTTCCATTTTCTTGATAAATGTATGAAAATTATGCAGTGTGAAGTTAATTAATTACAGGATTTATATATCACTTTTGAGTATTTAAATATGTTTTGTGTATAAGAATAGCAATGTAATTTATAATATTCCTGCAGTTAAGACCTCAGCCAGAAATCAGGATGGATTCAGGAGGACGAAAATCTTTATGTCGTGCTGTCCCTATATATAAAGCTCCCTCCATTTCGGTCTGGAAGAACATATCATGTGACTGATTATTTTTTTTAAAAAAACCTATGCTTGCTGACAGTAAGAAACAAAGATTTTATTCATGTTCAAGATGTGATTTATTACAAGTGAAATAAAATCATTAAGAAAAAAAATATTCTTTAGTTTTATTTCTGTATAGAAAGAGAACGAAATGGTTAATTTTTTTTTATTTTGAAATAACTTCAATTAAAACTTTAAATATGAAAATAATTTTTGTATATTTTTTCTTATATTAACAATTAGCCTATTTCTAAATTATAATTTTTTTTGTTGTTTGCATTTTTGTGCAACTCGCCGTAATTTCCTGTAAATATAGGATAATTTAAACTTGTGTTTAAGAAACAATGCAATATGTTACTAAATGTAATTATAAAATAAAAGAACTAGACTTCCTCCCATAGTAAAATGATATGTGCCACTGAATTTTCAATATATGTTTCTAAAGTGCATGGTAAATTATGCTGTTCCCATTATAACTTATTTTACTATAATACAGAATACAAAATTTAATATTAATTAATTAATCAATAATTTCTTACCACGAAAATGTTCACCAATGAATAGATAAAACTTGGTGACATCTCTAGAAAATGTGATAGTGCCATTCCACTAGCATCCGTAATTATAACTACACTATTCTCTTGAGTTCGATGAAAATTTAACATGAGATCGAAAGTAAGTAAAAAACAACGAGTTCCATCTATTCCATTTGTAACAGAAGTATCGAATTTTCCTAAGAAAATCAATATTTCAATATGAGAATATGGCTTATAAACATAATTATATTTTAATAAAAGCATAATTATATTTTAATAAAAAATTATTTTTATTAATCTTCTGTCTTCAATCAATTTCGTATTGCTCAATATTAATAAAAAGAAATAATTTAAATTGTAAATATATTTAATTTTCTTAAAAAATGTCATGTAAAATATGTTTTAGAATTTCAATTTTTGGTTTATATATTCATTTGGTCAAAATAAATGGGAAATAAAATACCTGTTCGAATGTAGAAATCCTCGTTTATTTGGGTCTCGAGAATCAGTGACAAATAGAGATAAAGAGAGATCATTATCTGTTGTCTCAAGTACATTCATTTAGTGAATCAAATAATTAAAAAGGAATTAATTAAATAAACATAAAATCTGAATAATAACTAATACAGTTGAAATATTGATTTAATTTTCTTAAAAATACCATGTAAAATATGTTTTAGAATTTAAATTTTTGGTTTATATATTCATTTGGTCGAAATAAATGGGAAATAAAATACCTGTTCGAATGTAGAAATCCTCGTTTATTTGGGTCTCGAGAATCAGTGACAAATAGAGATAAAGAGAGATCATTATCTGTTGTCTCAAGTACATTCATTTAGTGAATCAAATAATTAAAAAGGAATTAATTAAATAAACATAAAATCTGAATAATAACTAATACAGTTGAAATATTGATCTAACTTTTATAAAATTTTATGATAAATTATTTTAATTTACAGGAAATAAAACTTTTACAATTTTTTTCAATATTCTATATACAAACTATTTTCTATTTCCTTCACCTTTACTACATTTCTCTACTCTTCACTTTTTAGACTACATTACTGCCGATCAGATAAATAAAGAAACTATTGTTTTCACTAAGGAATTCAACTGTTACGCATAAATTCTTCATAATCATTAATTTAAAAAATTGTAACAATAATAAACTTATAACGAGTGCATTCTTACATTACTTTTAAAGTATTATTTTTGTAATAAAAAATAAGAAATAATTTTAAACAATAATTAAACAACTGTGCAAAAATGTTCCTTGTAATATAATTATAAAATTCTTAAACGTCAATAACTACAGAATGAGCCAGAAATCTCCATTGTAGGTGTTATTACGATGTTTGTTTATTATCTCACAAAAAAAAAAACATGGCGCTATGTAAATAAGAAAGAATTGGAGTTATTTTGATGATAGTTAATTGTTACCTGCAGACGTTGCTGAACATTTTAACTGGTTATATTCAAA